AAAAAAAAATTCAGGCCTGTACGGGATTTGAACTCATGACCTCTGCAATGCCGGTGTAGTGCAAATATTCATAGTTATAGAAACTCTTTACGGTGGCCAATTTACATTATAAACTCAGTTGATAAAACCAAAAAAATTTTGTATCAAAACGTATTAATCTTCTTCATGAACCAAACATGGACTGATTAGAGTAGACGACGAGGCTGATATTTCTGGGGACAAAAAAGGATTTGTGATAGCTACAGGATCCGTCAGCTGTCTCCCTTATGATTCCCATACACCCCTTCCCTACTTATCCTTGTGTTGGTGATACATAACAGCTAACCTATATTACCTCGTAAACATTAACTAAGCAGTTGTTGGATGACACTGAAAATGATGGCGAGAAATTTCACAACCTTGTGTGAAAAACCTTGTAACTCTACGACAACAACAACAACAACTTTATTTGCACCCCTGAATTAAATTAAATCTACAAAAAAGTAATAAAACAAATAAAATAAAGTGCATGGCTGCCCAAAATAACCACCAGGCTAATATAATTGAGCAGCCATCCTTAAGATTTTAAATACTGTAATGACTAATGGTGTCAGGTACTTAAGACTTCTTAAAGTAACGCATACAACAAACACAGAAACACACAAACAAAAAACTAGTTACAAGCTAAAAATACAAATTAGCGAAGATAAGCAGTTTGTATAGGCAGATTAACTAACGGAAGAAAGAAAATGTATGGTATAATTAAGTCAGTTAGTAACTTGCAAGAATACTTGATTTTATTTTCTTCTTAAATTGTTTAAGTGATAGAAGCTTAATGTCATCACTGATTGCATTCCAAACCTTAGCGCCATGATATCTAATATTAAAAGTACCATAGTTTGTTCTTGTCTTTGGCAGAGCATAAGTCGTTCTAGAGGAAAGCCTGTTCAGGGTCCGAAATTAACTTATTCCTTAGGGAGCCAACTGGCGACTAACCTAAAATTTTTGTCGCCAATTGGACGGGTTTGGTCGCCAAAACCAAGTGTTTGTTTCTTTTTTTTTTTTGGTTTCTTGCTTGCCGCGCCACGATCGCGGCTTCGCCGCTGAATTTGCCGCAAACTAAAGAAAACAATCCCTCTGGAACCCATGGTATAACTTACCTTTACCGTGGCCGGTACGGACAAATTACGTACGTTCTTTACACAAAACACATGCAAACTTAATAATTTGCGGACAAACTTAACAAAAAGCCAGCAAACTTAATTTATGCGCGCAAACTGTAAAAAGGGCTGACAAACTAAATAAAGGACATGCAAACTTAGCAAAATGCGTACAAATTTTATGACAGGCGAGCAAATTTTAAAAATAGCACGCAAAGTTAAAATGAAACGCTTTCAAACTCAAAATGAAACGCGTACAAAGTTAAAATTAAAAACACAAACTTAAAATGAGACACGCAAACTTAAAAAAACGCGCACAAACTTAATAGGAGACGAACAAACTGAAAATGAAATGCACACCAACTTGAAATGAAACGCCTGCAAACTTAGGAGTAAACACGCACGCAAACTTAAAATAGAACGTACGTGTTCGTATTTTTTTAAGTTTGCGTACGTTCTATATTAAGTTTGCGTGCGTCTTTATTCTCAAGTTTGTACGTGTTTCATGTTAGATTGGTGTGCGTTTCCATTTTTGTTTGTTTGTGTCAATTTAAGTTCGTGCGCGTTTCATTAAGTTTGCGTGTCTCACTTTAAGTTTGGGCGCGTTTTATTAAGTTTGCGTGTCTCATTTTAAGTTTGTGTTTTTCATTTTAACTTTGTATGCGTTTCATTTTTGGTTTGTATGTGTATCACTTTGACGTTGCGTGCTATTTTTAAAGTTTGCGTGCTTGTCATAAAGTTTGTACGCGTTATTTTGTTAAGTTTGCATGTCCTTTATTAATAATAATAATAATAAATAATAATAAAGTATTTATACAGCGCCAGTTTCCTCAAAGTTCAAAAGCGCTTAACAAGAGTGACACAGTTGTAAAATTAGAAAAACGCTTTTTTAAAAAGAAAAGTTTTAAGTTTGTTTTTAAAAACGAACACTGAGGAGCTGTTCATTTTATCAGACGGCAAAGTGTTCCAGAGTGTGGGGGCAGCTACAGAAAAAGATCTTGCACCGTATGTCTTCAAATTAAAATGAGGAATCACAAGGAGATTCTTAGATGATGAACGCAGTTGACGAGCTGGAATGTAAGGTGTGAGTAGATCACGAATGTACGATGGTGCAAAATTGTTAAGAGCTTTGTACGTGATGAGTAGAATTTTAAACACAATGCGATAATGTATCAGAAGCCAGTGAAGATTTATTAGAATAGGCGTAATGTGTTCATGTTTTCTTGAAAGAGAGATGAGACGAGCAGCGGCGTTCTGGACGTGCTGTAACTTTTTTACTTGGTAGTTCGGTAGTCCATCGAGTAATGAAGTACAATAATCCAATTTTGAAGATACAAATGCATGAGCAAGTATTTCAGTGGTGGTTAAGTTTGTCAGCGCTTTTTACAGTTTGCATGCATTTAATTAAGTTTGCTGGCTTTTAGTTAAGTTTGTCCGCCAATTATTAAGTTTGCATGTGTTTTGGGTAAATAACGTACGTAATTTGTCCATACCGGCCACGGTATACCTTAATTTATAGTAAAGCACAAAATTTAACCTTTCAACAAAATGTTTTCATTTAACGCAATATACATACTTCACAAAAGCCGTGTAACGGTAACAGAGTCCTACATCTCAATGGGCGTGATTGTCCGTTCGAAGAACGTTCTTGTGAAGGCTTCGGGTGTCTTTCTCTTATTATTTCCATTTAGTTGGAACTATGCTGGTACCCTGTTAAGTTCTGTGTATAAGACATATGGGGGCCCTCTTTCTATACCTAGATTCAACTAAGAGTGCTTCGTTGAAACGGAACGAAAACGCAACGACGATCAATGTGCTTGTGCCAGGCCCTCACACTCTTATTGCTCGAACCGGTATTTAAGTAAACTATTGAGGACCAGGCGGTGTGCTCACTGGGATCACGCTGATTCATGGGTGAAATTTGAAATCTAAGTCATTTGCATGCAGACGCCGTGGGGTAAACATCTCTTCGGGGCTAGCTGATTGAATGCGTAATGGGAATCAACTGTCTCTGGCCTTTTCTGGAACAATTCAGGAGAAAAGTCAATTTGCGTGAATTTTCTGCCCAAACTGCGGCTATCGATGCTTCTTGTTGGATACATAGGGCTTTGCATTGGTCCATGAGTGAAGGTGGAAATCGAGAGAGGGGAGAAATTTTAGTGATGATCCTTTTACTTCGTTTAGAAAGGTGTTTTTCCGATTATAAAAGTCCAGTATGTTTTGTTTTCAATTGAAGATTTGATAGTATATTTCAAAGCTTTCTACGGACGGTGACGAACGCCGGCGTAAGGCCGTTTGTTGTCTTTGATCGCCATATTTACCTAAAAGTTAACCATGTTCAAATGGTTATATCTGAAGATGGACTGGGGAGCGTTGATATACAGGGTTAGAACGAAGATCAAAGAAGCCTTTTACACCTTTTTTGTCACTCAAACTAACAGAGTTAAGAAATTCTAAGCTTTTAAGAAACGGTGTCAATTTCACAGTAAATTAGCGTAGATAAAATGGGCTATTAGAAACAAAAGAGCGTATTTCGTTTGAACCCAAAAACCATGTCTTTTAACTGTTGGGAAGTTGGAAGAGACATTTCAGCAAAAAAACGAAAGAGATACATTCTGTTCTAGGTCGAAAATGCTCTCCGAAACTCACTAACTTACCAAGTTTTCGCCGCCATCTTGAAAATGTTACATTCACAATGCATCGCAATCCCGTGCGCACACCGCCTGATTGAGGACTAAGCGCATGTGATTCTGCCGACGCTTTCGATCTCGTCACGGATTTCGTCTGCGATATCCGTATTGAAAGAAGCCGCTGAAACAATATAGCGCCAGGTAAATATGGCGATCGTCGCTTCGTTTTACTACAATTATCCACGGGAGCTTTAAGTTTTGTTTTCCTTCTACCTTGGAATTTCAAATGCCGAGGGGACAAAAGGTAAGTCGCCTCCTGGCGACCACTTCTAAAACTGTGGTCGCCAACACCTAATTTTTGGTCGCATTGGCGACCAGTCGGTCGCAATTTCGGACCCTGCTTGTATTATAATTATGAGTTTCTTTTACTGAAGTGAAAAAAACATTAAAATTAGTGGGAAGAAGTTGGTTTTTAAATTTATACATAAAAATCGGAATGTGGACAGTTAGTTCATCAAATAATTTGATAACATTTAAATCTTTGAAAAGTGGTCTTGTATGCTCTAAGGAGCTAATGATTTTGTCAGCCTTTGGTATCGGTCAATGATTTGCTTCCAAGACACCGATAATCGCAACGTTTTGCGTCAATAGGGTCTAGCACTATTTAATGTTTTTTTGTTTTTTGCTTTTTTGTGTGATTATTTCACTATCTGACAGCCTAGAGAATTGGCATTAGGGCTGGTTTCAACTGGCGACATTGGGGTTGTGGTCGGAATCGTAAGAGCGGTTGCGATCGGTGAATAATCGAAATTCGGAGCCGTAAGTAGAGTCATTAGCTAGATAGAATCGCAGTGAGAAGAATCAGAACAGTTTTGTTTTCTTCCGATTTCGCCTATGACTGCGACGCTGACGATCCGCTAAAAACTAAATTGTCGGAGTCAGAAGAAGCAGCGGAAGAACCAGCATATCATAATGCTAGTTCCCCGGCTATCCGAAGGCTTACGGCGTCAACAATCCATGTTTCCACTGCGGGGGATCACGGTTTCTAATTTCTGTCCGTCGTTCATGAGGTGGCTTATACCGATGTTCTAGCACGTGTATCATCCACCTGAATTTATGTATGGGTTGTATGTTGAAAACACGTTATTCAACTGATGTAGGGGGTATGATGCACGTCAGGGCTTCCCCTCCCCCTCTACCAACGCCCTCGCACTCATCTCTCCCTAGCATGCTCCACTTCATCCAGTAATTATAATTTGTTTGCGGGTAAAACAGTACTTCTACTCGTCAGTCTTCTTTTGGTAGGACATGACAATATCAACAATCTTTATTTTTTGCTAGTTAGAAATAATATGGAAAAAATCTAATGAGAAATTGAATGACTTTCAGTCTGAAGAACTTTGTTAAAATCACAAACTTTCCAACAATCAGTAAGAAGACACAATTATCATAGTTATAGCGAGGGACAACATATGATTGAGAGTGTTAAATTTCTCTGTTGAGATAACCTTGCTCTTATAAATGGAAATATTTCTTGGGGGAACGAGTTAAGGAATGAGTTATTTGAATAAGTAGTAAATTAGTAAGAAAAAATTGTAATTATTAGGTTAGCACGATAGCGTGTGATTCGATTTTTCAGATTACCCAGAGCAACTTGTAGAGCTGATCAGACGAGAGTACGAGGGTGCTGTATTGTTTCCATTCCCTTGGTGTGAGGATGAATTGGAATTCGAACTGGCCAAGATCTTTACAAGACTCAAGATCGTTGCCCGTGAGAAAGAACGAAAGAGGTTAACAGATGACCTCGTCAAAATGACTGAGGTCTTTAGAGCACTCAAAAAATGTGACTGCAAATGTGAATGCGAATGTAAAGGTAAGAAACCAAGAGTGGTGTTGATCGAGGGGCCACCTGGGATGGGCAAAACCACCTACTGTCAGAAGCTTGCATATGATTGGTCTGTGGGGGAAATTACAACTGAACCTTCTTTTCCTGAAGTGGACATGTTCCTTAGGCTGACGTGTCGGGATATGAAGACTGCGAACATTGAGGACGCTATTGATGATCAGCTATTACCAATTGATGTAGACAAGAAAGACAAGGAAAAGTTCTTCCATTTCATTCGCCACAATCAAACTAGAATCTTGTTGGTGCTTGATGGATTGGATGAATTACCGAAGAAGCTGTTCGAAGAATTTATGCCTTTGATTTCAGGGAGAGTATTTCCTTTGACCTACGTCATGTTAACAGCTCGACACGAAGCTGGAATGAAAGTTCGGCGACACTGTGACGCGCTGTTTGAGATTGTGGGCTACACCAAAGAAGACGCAGACGATTATATTACTAAGTACTTTAGCGGCCACGAGAAACCGATTCTTGGTAAGAAACTAATCATGGAAATAGACAGGGACTCACAGCTTAGAGAATTGACTGCCAGTGCGCTTAACACAGCTCTTCTATGTCTTGTTTTTGAAGATACAGGCGGAGTATTACCTTACAACAGAACCATGTTGTATTTTGAACTTGTCAGCTGTGTTCTTAGAAGATATTGTTCAAAAAAAGAAATCTCTTTGGACGACAAAGATCCCGTAAAGAAGTACACAGAGCAGCTAAATCAGCTAGGAGAGCTGGCTCTCGAAGCTCTGCTCAAAGATCAATTATCTTTCACTTTTGAAGAGCTGAAAAGTCATTCAACCAAATTCCTTGAGCTTGGATTTCTTTCTCGACAGCCTAGTGCAAGCAAAATCAAACCGAAGCCATCTTACGCATTTATCCACAAGACATTTCAGGAATATTTCGCCTCGTTCCACCTGGCGCATGAATTGCTAACTACTGACAGGGACAAAGCCGCCCTGCTGGCACAGCTTACTCCAGTTCGTAAGTACTGGCAGATGTGGAAGTTTCTCATCACAATGGCAGCGAGTGAAAGTGATGATACAGCTGCTTTCCTGGTTTCCAGTATATGCGCTGCCTTTCAGCCTCAAAGACTAGCAAAAGACAGCGAGGACAACCCACCCAGGAGGATTGTCCCTCACTATGAATACGACGATGTCTGCGGAGATGCTAAGTATTATTGGGAGCCACTTCATCAGCTGATGTCTCTTCCAGTCGAAGTGGAGTCTTCTTTCGTCGTGAAAACAGTTGAAGCTATTGCTCAATGTGAACATCCTACTACTGGAGTCAAACCCTACAAAATCAAGATGGCCGGTGCACTCGCACGCTGTTGTCCAATGGATGAAATAACAGTGCGTGATTATGACTTTACCTTGAACTCTCAATTTTTTTTCGTTATGTTCGAATTTCTTAATGGCAACTGCAAACTGAACAAATTAACTTGGGAACTCAATGTATCAACTGCAGCAGCACTTGCAAATGTCCTTAAAACATGTCATACTCTGAAGCACTTACGTCTGAAGTACGGCTCGAACATCACATCAATTACTCCCGCTCTTCAGGCCAATCACACGGTAACGCATTTAGATATGCGTGAAGCTGGAGTTGGTGATGTGGAAGCCGAAGCACTCGGAAGAGTTCTCCAGTCAAATCACACATTGACTGTTTTGTGCTTAGCTGATAATAATATCTCACATATCGGAGTTGAAGCCTTAGCAGAAGCTTTAAAGTTCAATAGAGTATTGGAGGACTTGAATATCGCACGGAATGACATTGATAATAAAGGAGCCGTAGCACTTTCTCAAGCTTTGGAGTCTAACCGAACATTAAGGTGCTTAAATTTGTGTGGTGAAATTTCAATTGGTTATGAAGGGTTAAAAGCTATGGCAAACGCTCTCCGATGTAACAGTTCACTGGCTTGCCTCGATATTCGTGGACATACTTTTAGTGACTTATCATTAGCTGAGCTTGGAAAGGGTATTCAGTCAAACTGTTCTCTGACTCATCTTTACGTGGGGTATGCGCAAACTTTTCAACCTATGTTGCGTTCAATGTCTGTTTTTGATGATTCATCAGCAGAAGCGTTTTCAAAGGCTCTTCAGTCAGGTGACACTCAGCTGGCCCGTTTAGATTTAAACCATTCCTCAATCAGCTCACCTTGTGTTATAATCCTAGCACAGGGTCTCAGGGTCAATGGTACTCTTGAACGTCTAGATTTAACTAAAAACCGCATTGACTTTTCAGGTGCAGTAGCTCTTGCGCAGGCGCTGAAAACAAATCAGACCCTGACGCATTTGCAGCTGAGATGGAACTTTATCAGCGATGACGGGGCTAAAGAATTTGTAGAGGTTCTTCAGCACAACAAGACTTTGATGTTTTTAGGCTTGGATCAAAATCCGATGACCAAGTCAGGAAGAGATCTCTTCAAGGTTTTGGGCGGCCGATTGGAACCGGACGAAAGTAATGCCCTTGTTTTACCCCCCGGCGTACGGTGGATTAGGAATTCATGAACATGACCTGCCCGTAGAATTTGTCTCGCTGTTGTGACTAGGTCCAAACAGGACTAAATGAAAATATACGAATTTCGGAACTTCATGCGAGCTGTCTTCATTTTTTTTTTTCAGACTGCTTGTTCCAGCAGTCTGGGTTTTTGTATCATTGCAGAGCGAGAGCGTTCAGAAATAAAAGTGTGTATTTGAAGAGAGTCGTTCAGTTGTAGGGAAATTTTTAGTTGTGAGATGTAAGTTATCCGAGATTTCTTTGGTTTTGGTCTACTACATTGTGTGATTATTTCAGAAATCTCGCGCCACTTTTTAAACCAATCAGATTCAAAACTAAATAACCAACCGCGACTTAGTCACTCGCATTATCCCGCGCTTCTGGCAGTTTGCTTGTTTGTACTTTGAGTTCTCATTGGATAGAAGAGAAGTATAAAAAGTTTTGACTCATTAACCGGCTGTAGACTGTTTTAAAAGTAAGAATTCAAGACTTTTTCATTTATTCTATTCATCAAATCAAAGCTCACGTGTTTTGAACCCGTTGAGGAGGGGGGGGGAGGGGTTCATTTTGAATGATCCCTTTCGTTCACACCAATTAGCTTTAGCAAAAAGGATGGCAGGCGGCATCTTTCTCTACAATGCGTTCCTTTGGGGTAGCAGATTTCTCTTTAGATCACTAATAAACTCTTTTACCAAGAATTGATCTTTCTTGTTACTAACTTTCGAAGAATCTAACACTTCAATTTTATGTAATTAAATTAACCTCATTAGTGCATGTTTTATTTCCCGCGTGAACTAAATAAAAATTCTAAATTTAAGAAAGACAATACTTTGCGTGTTCCTGCTCTTGGAGAAATGGTCGAGGTTTTTGCTCTTTCGGGAGTATAGTCGCTAGTCCATGTTCGCAAATTTATCATATTATAATGTCGCGCTATGCAAATTACGCAGGGTAGTTCTGTCAATTGAAAACCATCGAGACCTCTTTCCTGTTTTGAACTGGTTTGACTGAAAACTTCGGAACAACGATCGTCGAAAACAAAAGAAAAGAGGCATATGGCCAAAAGACCCAATCTTGTCCACCCTATGTACCAATTACTGTCACGAACTCTGGCTCAGCCTGATATGCAAATTTTGTGGTGCTTTATGAGCAAGACGTAATTTGCAGTCTTTGCATATAGTCTCAAAACGGTCCACAGTAAACTGCATGGGAACACATGCTTAAACTAGTTGGCTTTATTGTCAGCCCTTTTATGGTTTCCTTCAGAATTTTCAGAAAAATTTGTATTAACAGTAGAAAGAGGACAAATTTGAAGTGAGCTACGAAGAATTCGTTGAAAACTAAGCCGGTTTTGATCGTAGCTGCAGCGGCCGGCTTCTCTGTTCATGATAAACCTCACGAATGAAATTAACCAGACGGTAAAATTCGTGTTTTTCTCGTTGCCATGTTCCCCCCAATAACGTAGCTCCATTTTCTGCCTTTAAAAGCACACACAACCCACAATTCCTCTATTCGCTCCGACGAAGGGCTAACGCTCGAAACGTCAGCTTTTGTAATCATTACGGTGGCCAATTTACCATTTCAACTTTGTTGATATATCCAAATTATAATGTTTATGAAATACTGGTGTTTAGACCATGGCAAGTTATACAACAAATTGGAACTATGACGGCGTATGGTATTTCGAGGACTGGACTGGACTAGTAAAACGTGGACTAGTAAAACGCGGACTAGTAAAACGCGGACTAGTAAAACGCGGACTAGTAAAACGCGGACTAGTAAAACGGCC